ATTTTTGCAAAAATAAAGTTTTTACAAAAAAAAATTTTTTTGCCCATAGCCACCTTTTGCTGTGGGGCCCCCCATATATAGATCGCTAATTACAAAATTAATACATTACTAATTTAATTTAAAATCAGAAGCCTGAACCTTAAGTCTGAAACTCTATTGTGATTATTAGAATAGTGAGCAAGAGTTTTTTTTACAGTAAGGAAAGTGCCATTTATCACCTGATTTTTAGGGTAGGAGGAAGGGTCAGAAAAATATCAGGTCCTAATATAATAATGGCTTTTAATTGGTTAAAATTATTAAATATATAAAAAATTTTGAAATTAATACTAGATAACTTTTGACCCAGCAGTCAGTTTTGGATGATTTCATCACCAAAATGTCTGTCTCACTGAGACGATTCTAACAAACCCAAAATTATCAAAATCCAATTACAGAATCCCGAGATCAGAATAGATTTGTATTATACAGTATTTTTTTAGTAATGTGTACTGAAGATTGACCAGGCTTGTCAAGACCCAGTTTATAAGCCACCTGATGGTTTTCATCAGACAATAGGCTGGTTTTTCCCATAAGACGCCCAACCCAGTTATCTCACTGATGTTGGCCACAATATCATCATATGTCAAGGCATAATATAGATATTGTATAACCCAGGCCTCAGCTGCCCCTTTGCTAGAGTATATGTCTCACCCATGTATTTACCCAGACTTTGGTAACTTTACGCCATAGCTTGACACATGCACTTGGGGTTAGGGCTAACTATTAAACCCCTGCAACTAACTAGTACTTGCCATAACCCAATAATACTGCTCTAATATATTATTATATATATCCCGGGTCCCTCCCCCATGGTGTTACAGTTTCCAGATTTGTATTTAAGCCACAGCCTTCTTAATTAATCACCTATTACCTACTTCTTGCCCTTATTAGGTTCACAACAACTCTGATACCCGCAATTGGACCGTCCTCTTACCCGGATTCTTTATTGGTTTTTCTCTTACTTCTAGCCGGCAACCCGGAAGGGTCAGTCTGCCTGGGCTTTAAGTGTCTGAAGGATGCCCTTCTCTTGGTACATACTTTCGAAGCATATGTCCTTTTCCTCCAGTGCAACAGAACCCGGCGGTTCAGCTGGTGTGTCCTCTGCCATTAGGACCTGGTTGTTTGGTTCTCCAATCTCGGGCCCTGGTTCAAATTTAGCCTTCTTGTGATACCATCGATAATCACTGCTATTTCTAACTCAGGACTTCCCAAATAGGTTTTCAGTTATGCTAGTTCCTTGGATTTATTGCGCTATTGCTCCTATTACTAGATAGTGTGACCGAAGTTACAGATTAGATCCAACTGATATGCATAGCCGTCAACTGAACACAAGACTATTTTTCAAATATTGTTGTCTGTGGGATTCAAACTCTAGACCTGCCACTTGGAGAGGGTGACAACTAGACTACTACACTAAGTCGCCACACCTCATTATACAGTATTTATATATAGTACTATATATATATATATATAATAATACAAATCTATTCTGATCTTGGGATCCTTTGATTGGAGTTTGATGATTTTGGGCTTGTTAGAATCATCTTAGTGAGACGGATATTTTGGTGGTAAAATAATCCAAAACAGACTGCTGGGTCAAAAGTTATCTAGTATTAATATCAAAATTTTAAAATTTTTTTAAATTTTTTTAGCCAATTAAAATGCAGCATTTATAATTAGGTGGTGGGTGGGGGTAGCCACTTAGTAGCAAAAAATCAGATGATAAATGGCACTCCCCTAATTTATAATATAAATAATTCACAATAATCTCAATACAAACTTAACTTTAACTCTGTATTATGTTAGAAATAGGATTATTTTATAATTAAAATACAAATTAGTTATATTTTTATCATTATCAGAATAGCAAGCTCAGAGAAATTGTTTAGCCAATACAAATTGCAGTAATTCTGATATTAACTAACTCAACCTTACAGAAAATGCAATACTAATACAAGAATAATGGGTAAGTGTTGCAGAATTTTTTACATAACTCAGAAAAATTATGAAAATTCTAATGCAAACTTACAAGGCCTTAACTACTTACTGTGGTTACCAGAACAGCAAATAATTTCTAAAAGATTGTTTTACCTTGTGATGAATCCAATGTAAACGAACTTAATTTTAGCTATTGTGTGCTGTGTTATTATTTTTTTTCGATTTAATAATTTTTGATCAATATATAATTTTTTTTTGCAAGCTTTGTAAGTCCTGTGATTATGATACAAGCAGTTATCTAAACTTGTTATATTTTCAGAGCACATTTTATAAGTATTTTTGGGTATTTTTATTGTATTTATATATGTGTTTCACAAATGCAACAAATTTAAGTAATTATATATTTATTGTAATTGTGGAGGTCATTAATCTTACAAAAAAATCATAAACTAATCAAATCAAGCTAAAGCAAAAAGAGTGATAATAAGTTCTGTAACAAAATAGTTTACATAGAAATTACAGTAATTTATTGCAAACTAGCTCAACCTTAACTATACCATGTATCACTGGAATAATAAGTAAGTTTCATAACAGATTTATTTACAATAACTTATGATTGAATTTGTGAGCCTTAACTACACTATGTGTTACAGGAATAACAAACAAGTTTTATTAAAGAATTTTACAATAGCTGATGGTAGAAATCATAATAATTCAAATGCACACAAACTCAACTGCAATGTCAATAGAAAAATACAGGGGCACTAATAGTGACCATCTAATCCTGTAAGTATATAAAAATTGACATTCACATTACTATAGGTGAAAATCGTCCAGTTTATTGAATTATTAAATTACAACCTTTAAAATTTATTCTTTTATTTATTGGTTGAGGTAATTAAAGCATATTCATTCTCTTATTTGACATGATAGTAATTTGTTAGTTTAAGATAAGCTATTGCACTTCAATTTCTCTATTTATAATTTATTTTTTATTTGCAAAAATTTAGTGTATGAAAAAGAATATTTATTATCACTCATTGGATTGGTTCTACCCTAAAATCCTGAAAGACAGATTCCCGAAAAAGACATAATACCGACAAAGTTAGCCAGCATTAGTTATAATGCTGGCCAATTTAGTTAGTATTATGTCCTTTGGGAAAATGGCTTTCAGGATTCAGGGTAGAACCCATTGGATTGATGATCTTTCATAATTTTTTGAACTCATGAACTATGTTTGTGTATTCTGTGGAATTTATCAATAAGCTATTCAATTTTATGAATCTTTTACTATTATTCTCTTTAATTCGTTGGCGAGTATAAAGATTATTTAATATTTAAATCTTGTATTTTGTAATAAAGTAAAAATGATTAATATGAAATCTAATTTAATGATTAAAAAAGTCTAATTCGAGAAAATTTGCATAACATGACGAAGATATTAAAATAAAATATAATAGTCCAAATTCAACATTTCAAGGATGGATAGTGGAGATGATATATTGAGGATTAGACGAAATGATCTCGATTGATGTATATGTACGACTTAATCAATCATATGATAGACTTAAAAAAATTAATGGGAATTAACACAAGTAGTACCGTAGAAGCGCCGGTGGCACCCCCATTTTTCGCTTGTATAATTATAGGATTTATTCTAATAATCGACGTAAGTTTATTATTAATTGGATAGCATCTAATATTTATGTTTATTTATTATACAATGTATAAAAATGCCAGCTACATTTGTATAATAAAATTTAAAATATATGTATCTGGTATGCTACATATTAATCATCTTTAGTTTTTATATGACTTCTCATCAGCACGACTTTCTGCAAACTAATTATCTGATTAAGCTCTATAATATCACCACGATACTATTAATAAAAATAATAATAAATATGAATAATTTGAATGATAACAAAATATATAATCAAGACAAGAGAATAGTGTCTTGAAGAAAAGGTTCAATTCTAACAGCTGCTCGATTAAATAAATTTATATTCTTGATCATGTGCACAATACTATTAGTCAGTTTTTTACTGATTAATCCATACATATTCGAGACAACCCTGTATAAAGATGCGAATATATATTGAAGTTAGGCAATAAGAGCTTTAGAACAATTATTTGTTACTTATTTCGCCCTTTTGAATTTTTCTATAAAAAAATCCATCATATTGCTTATATATGACGATATTGTATGCGGTTCTATAATAAAAAAATCTTTCAAATACAGAAATAGAATAATTTGTTATGTTAAATATTTTTAATAAAACGTATTATGAATAAGAAAAATAGAAATAGAAAAATACCATCTTTAATACTCATATTAGAGGCTGATGTATGTGATTCTACAGTATGTAATAACAGATAATATAAGAACTAAAATATAATGTATTTGATAAACGTAAAAATTATATATGTACTTACCTGAATTTTTCGATCTAACACCATTTATGTCAGAAGATTTATTTAGTTCTATAATAAAATATATTTATAATATCAGCAATGAAATGGTTTATGAAAAAAAATATGCTCGAATCTTTTATGCTAGTGTGACAGTAAAATAAAAATAACCTGAATTATTAAAATAAAATTCAATAATTTTGCTCTGAAGGGAATCTTTTGGTTGCAAGTCTAATAAAAAATAATTTAACATTATTAAAATGATGCCTACATTAATTTTAATCCACAAAAAATTGTATATATAGTTACTATTGTTAAAAGCAGCTATGGTTGGCCTTTTCTTTCTTTCATATTCAATGGCCAATTTCTCGTTTTCAAGGATTTCACGGTATATATTTTTAATGATTTCATGAATTTCTTCGATAGTAGGTCTTTTCAAAGGATCAGCATCCAAGCATCTATAAATAAGATTTTGCAAACTATTTGGAACTTCATGCAATTTGGGTGGCCTCAAATTGCTTAAAACTATTTCATATGCTAATTGTTCATCATAAGCTCTATCAAAGAATGGTGGATGTCCAGCAAAAATTTCCCACATTAAAATTCCCAACCCATAAATATCTGTTGATTTCGAATATTTTTTATTTTGAAGCAACTCAGGTGCCATATACGGAATAATACCAAAAACTTCATCTGCATTTCTGTCTTCTACAGGACCACATAGTCCTAAATCAGTAAGTAAGCATCTATTTGTATATAAAAGGATATTTCCACTATGCAAATCACAATGAATTAAATCTTGCCGATGGACATCCAGTAAAACACCGCATATACGCCAAATGGCGAATACTCTATCCTGTAAAGTTAGTGTTGAATGATTTTTCTTTATATAATCTCTTAAATTTCCATCCGCAAAATAATTCATAACTATAGCAAAATTATCGTTTTCAGAAGTTTTAATTTTGGTTATTCCATACGCATTAACAATATCACCAGATCTAATTTGAATAAATCTTTTTGCCTAGAAAAAATAGGTATAGTATGCAATTATATATAAAATAAACGAAATAAACATTGAAAAACATATAATATATACCTCTTCAAAAAATTTTTCCATATTTTCATTTGAATTATTTAATGATTTAAGCACAACCTTCTGAGAACCTTGATAAACAAAATTCCCATTAAAATCTAATATCGACCCTCGTTTCCATGTCGCAGTGTATATAGTAGCAAAACCTCCTTTTACCAGAGGTTCAATATCTTCGAATTGTTCAAATGGAATCCATTCCATTATATGTAGAGGGAGTCCTGAGTTTGACTGACATTCGCGAATAAATTTGTCGATAATACACTGGCAATCATAAGTAGTGCAACAAAAAAAAAATTTCACTTACATCATACTACCTCCCGCAATTCCGGGCA